ACACTAATAACATCTCATATTTCACAAATCATATTTTAAAGTATTTCAACAGCCTTAATAATTATTTTGAAATTAAAAATAAGAAAATTATAAATACAGACTGGATTAAATCTTTGCAGATTATCACTTTTTAATTTATTTCCAGAACTATGTAATAATGACCATTTATTCTTCATCTGTCTATATTTCTGTTGTAGAGTAGTTTTCACAGTGGAGGCTTGTATTTCACTAAGTCTGTCCTAAAAGAGTCCGACGTACAAAACGTTAGGAACTTGCAATAAGAGTTAATGACGCAGCAATCTAGTTGTGATGGTTGATACTTCAATGTCCGACATCGACTGACTCACTCAACACCACTGAGCCCAACTGGCGACCGCTGCTACTACTACTACTACTTATTATGTGTGGGAGAGTCTATTAATAATAGAATAGGTACGTTCAGGTATGACAATTTCCAAGATGATGTATTGTAACTATTTACACTATCTACATAGTTCCAACTGTTGTCCTCATCTTTATTGTCATATTCACATTTTGGCTGTTGTGCACACTAACCTTCATCAGGTGACCTATGTTGGAATTTCAAGCCAAACTCTTTATTTCTTTCACCAGAGTAGAGTGTTCTAGTTCCACATGCCATGCCTTTTCAGGATCTCATTTTCAGTTAATTCTCAACTCTCCAACTTTTTGTTCACCCCTGCTGTGGCCAGCTATTGAACTCATAGCTCTTTGGGTCAAGTCATTGGATTACTTCAAACAACACTTTTATCCACTGGACCATGTAGTTTCAAATTCCAACATAAAGCACCCAAAGAAGACTGAAATGTTGTGAATATGACAATAAAAATGAGGACAACAGTCCAAACAATATAAACAGTTACCACTTTAACAGTTTAATTTAATGTTTCAACTGCAGTTAATTCAACTGAAAGGAGATCTCAGACTTTTCTAGAAAGGACATAGGGACAATGTTCAGCAAGCTATCATATATCAAAAGTGAAAAGAATTTTTTAGATTAACAAAGAAACAATTGTATCCTATGTTTAATTTATCAGGTTGATTTTTTAAAACTTGCACTATTTCTCTTTATTTTACTTGCATCTGATTGGGATGAATAGCTTAATAAATTCTCTTCAAACAAATAAACTTGTGGGACTACCCCACTTTTCTGTCAAAGAACTTCTGCTAATTAGTTAAATTGCATTGCCAAAACAATATATAAAATAAAGGCACAGTCTCATCTTTTTCCTCTTTTAGCCACAGGATGCCTTAGAGCAGCCAGTGGGCAGCATGTAGCCCATTTGACTTTCTGAATAGCACACCTAACTTCATGAGGAAAATCATTATATATTTCTTGTAATACCAAAGATGAACAGAAAGCAAGGATTATGGCAGCATTGACCATCTTCACCAAAGAGACCATGGTTGAAGCCAACGGCAATTTTATTGAATTTACTCTAGTATTTCAAGATATTTTGTAATTTTGACAAACACTTCTGTTAAAATGAGATGTCAGTGTTATTTTCATTTTTGCATAATTTAGATGAGAAATTATCCATCACACCCTGTATATATTGCATATTTAGGCAGCAATCCCTCTTTTATACAGGTTTCATTGACAACGCACTAAAATTAAGCTTTTTATTAATTTTTTCTTGCATTTGTACAAGTGATTTCTTTTATGAACATAGAGTGTTTAAAAACTGTTCAAGTGATATCAGAGTGCAAGAAAAATTTAATATATATATATATATATATATATATATATATATATATGTATAAGAAAAAAAAAACAAAAAGAAAAATATGTAATCAAATATCAATGGGGTATAAGTAAGGCCAAGAACTTTTCAGAATGCCCTATATTAGCAACACAAGAGAAATAGTAGTAATATAAGGTTGGAAGTTTTGCTTACAAATAAGTTGATAAGGCACAATAGATCAAAAGAGGAAAAGTAATGTCTTCTAATTGTTTTTTTATATGAATTTCTGATATCAAGTGTTGTTATAATTAAATATTGGTTCTTTCAATTTCCTTTGTCTTCCCGTTGTTTTTATTACATTTCAGACTTAAGTATCTGTTACGTTCAGTAACTTTCTAGAAAATTCAAACAGAACTTTTTATTTAACCCATAGAAGATAGTTTTCCTTATTTCTACTTCTGCCATATCAGGTGCTCTGTGATGATGTGCATCTACCTTTCTATTTTGGCAGATGTATATTTCTCTAAATGACACAGGAATTAGACTTTAGATTTTAAAGAAACTAATAAGCTTTAACAGTACTTTTATCTACAATGTCATGTCCACAGGGAGATATATTTTTGGAGTCTTAAATCTAATTTAATTTCCAAGTAGCTCTCATATTGTGCTTATATTTATGCTTCAACTACTGGTTGGATATATAATATGGGAATAGTATATAAGCTCTGTGAGGAAAAGGAAAACCGAATTCAAATACCAGCCTGAATAGGGATAGGATCCATCAGGCTATCTTACACTAGACACACCCATTGCTGCTATGACTACAGTACATAGTACATGTGTTACCCTAATTGGATACCGTCCTGGGTATGATGATAAACTATGTCCAGCAGCAAGGCCTCTGATCAGGAGGCTTTGAGGAGCATGGAACCACCTCTCAATTGCTGGTGTTCCCAGGTCTCTCCTGACTTGGGGTGGTAGCACCTGTTAGGGTCCCAACTATGGGCAAATAGTTAACCCTGAAACTGAGGTAAAAAGCATTATAAAAGTGTAAAAATGGGTTTTAATATCAGAGATACTTTGTAAAAGAATTGATACCAGAAATAAATTTTTGAAGAAAAAAAACTATTACCAGCAATATATCTTTGAAAAAACATTTTATCAGCAATACATTTTTGAAAAAAAACTATTACCAGCAATACATGTTTTAAAATAATATTACCAGCTATACATTTGTGAGTAAAAAAATATTACCAGAAATAGATTTTTGACAAAAAATATTACCAGGAAAAAAAAGTTGTCGGTATTAAATAATCCAATGAGGTTGATATGCCATAAAACAAACCATACTAAACCAAACCAAATTGGATATGGGACTTGTGATGTGATGTAACTAAGAGTCTTAATGATTGGGTATCTAGTAATGATGAAACCAATCCCACTAGTTTTCTGCAGTACAAGTGACTCATACTCTCCTGAATCTATGATATGGGGTCCCCGACTCTACTATATCTCAATTTTCATAAGTTAGTATTCATACAAAATACAAATTTTATTCTGACCTAATTATGTACAATAATGTATCATATGCAATATAGATGAACAATTCAAATAGAAAGACTGAAAATAAATACAATGTATCTAAATACAAATTAGAAACATGTCATAATAGATCATTCCATCTTTAATAATGAATCAATAGTTTGCAGCAATTTTTAAAGTCACCTTGAGTTTTTTTATTGGTAAAAGTTGAATAATTTTAACATTCAACATTATGGATGTTGAATATAATAATAAAAATAATAAATAATGAATTTTATATGGCATTTTTTTGAGACTTAGCATTATTAAAACAAATTCAATGGATTTTAATAAAAATGAATAAATTTTGTCTTTTTGTTATTTCTCCTAAACCCTGTTCTGTCATCCATTTAACTAAACTTGCTAGGTAGTTCATGCATTGTTTTTCTCTATCCCGCTTGCCTTCAATCCGTCCTTTGTGTGTCAAACTTTCCGACCCTCTTTCCTCATGTTTGGTTCACAGGATTCTCAACATCATTCTGTAGAACCATTACTCTATGCTAATTAGTAAACATTAAGTAGCTCCTTTTATGTTAGCCCCCTAGGTCACTATCAAGTTTGATGCATAGCACCAGTTATACTATCATTATACCTTTTATTCTTGTAAAATATTTATTCTAGTATCACTCAACTGAAGGAATTTATTTTTCTAGTTCAGAGATTTATTTTTGTTATTTATTTTTTTATCAGTTTCACCCCATGCTAGGCAGTAAAGTCACTAAGGCACAATAGTATACTGGGTGTGGAAGAATTAAGAACAGAAACATTAATAATGAACAGGAAGAGAAAAGAGTAATCAAGGTGACAGTAGATAGTGATTGACATTGCATTTAAATTTTTGCAGATTAAAGTTGGCTGGAAAGAATGGAGCTGGAAGGGAGTTCCACAGAGATAAACAATATATTGCTTTAATTAGAAAATGTATTTTTTCATCATCAACTTGGAATTCCAGACTTACTGTTGAATAAAATTATCTAACTTTTCAGAACTCTCATTGGGAGAGTAAGATTTTATTCTTTCTTCTTAATGTATTTCAAACAAAATATTTTACTTCTCCTCCCTCCTGTATTCCTTTTTATCATTGGATATCTCCTCTACCCAATCTTTATATATATATATATACTGTTGCATGGACATATAACCTTACCACACATTAATAGACCATTGAAGTGATATTTATGTTTTATTATTTCAAGGGTACTGAGCTGGTATAGTGTTCACTTCCTTTTATGGGAATTCATTGCTGTAGAAATGCAGTGGTCACTTCCTGTATACAAAATAGGAATAGTCTGAGATAGGTAAATGTGGGGGGGGAGATAAAACTAGAGATTGTTTAGCACAGAAAGGTGACTGAAGAAGAAAAAATTGATTATATTTTGCTCTTTGGTTGTATCTCATCAATAAATATTATCTTCTTGTATTATGAAGATAGATATGTTACAGTCAAATTTTGGAAAGTGGGTCGGTTTAAGAACTTTTTGGGAAATTTCTCATAGTAAATATAGATTGTACAGATGCATATTTCTTACCAATCTCAGTTCCTTTCTGATTAGATGATTGGAGCATCACAATCTTCCTACCTTTATTATTTCCCAGACTAAGCTAAACCTAGCTGATGTTTAGGTGCTGGGGGATACTATATAAGTTATAAATCAATTGAGTAGATGTTTATATAAATAAATAAAATTTAATGAAATATTTTTTTTTTCCTTTCAGGTGAACTGGTATCACGAGAAAAAGCAATGCTTTCCTTATTTGGAATGGATGTGGGTCCTGTACGACTGCCTTTAATCACAATGACAGAAGAGAAAAAGTTTGCAATGAAAGCAAAACTTGAGGACTTTGGTTTTGTGTTTCCACAGTGTGAATGACACTTAAAATACCTCAAAGAACACGCCAATTTGACCCAATAAGTCAGAATGGCATTTCTGTGATAAAGAAATCTTTTATATTCTACACATTTTTCCTGAATCTTTGGGAACCCTGAGTAATTTTTTTTTTCTTAAAGAATCATGGGAATTTCTGATCACTTCTAAAGAGAAGAATTGGAAATTGTATATTGTCCCTTTGCCAAAGACAATGGAATTTCTTATATTATTCCACAGGATACCATGAAGAAAGGAGGAAAAATGGAATCACCAATTCATTTATATTGTTTTATAATGAATATATATATATATATATATATATATATATATGAGTGTGTGTGTGCATACAAGTTTGGTTGAAGTCTAATGAAAGTTCTTTGTTAAAGATTTTTAAAATATTTTTTACCTTTTTAACAGTTATGAGTATTTTTTCTGGTTTTGGGGTAAAATTATTTTTTTTTTTTTTTTAAATAAAAACTGACATGGCATCCATTTATGTGCAAAGATGTGACACTCAAAAACTACCAAAGAAAACATTCACAAAAATAAAACTTTGATAATAGATGATGAAAGCACTCAGAACACTTTGGACAATTCATGTTCAAATATTCCCTGGAAACCAGAGAAAAATCAAAAAATCTTAAACCAAGATCATTCATTGGCCCACAATCAAACCTGCATCAATGAAAGATTTTCGCCCAAATATAACACACACACACACACACACACACACGTGTGTGTGCGTGTGTGTGTAAAAGCTGGAATTCAATTTTAATGACCCTAAAATATGTAAATAAATATAAAAATTTATCAATAAAGATTGAAATTGAAATGGATGTTTTCTGTCAGAATTTCTGGGATGACAAGTTACTATTTACATTAAGACTATTGACCTCATCTTTGTTGTTGTTATCACAATATTTTGGCCATTGTACCCTCCAGCAAATTCTGAACTGAACTCTTTATTTAATCTACAACAGTAGATTATTCTGACCATGTCTAAGGATATCTCATCTAGTTTTTATTTCTAGTACTGCTCAATTATAGCTCAACCATTTACACCGAGTTCAAGTACACACTGCCCAGCCCAGGGATTGAACTCTCAATTACTATACCACCAAATTCACAAACTAATGCTTTAATCCACATTTTCTGCAAGAAAATTTTCTGTGGTAAACTTGAAGCCTTAAACCTAACCTGCCTGCTGATTAGTGCTGCTGCATGTTATGTTTGACTGCTGCTGAAGACTTGATGTCATTTGTTTTTCTTTATTAGCACTGTAAACTCACACGAATGAAAGAACAGACCTGAAGCAGCAACAACGTCCACTGCTGTTCAGTAAGAGTGGTCATCAATATCAGTAATCAATAGTTGAGTGCCTCTGCAGAATCAGTGCTAAACAAGGGTTTCAACTTCTCTACCACTATCAGGCAGGTGGTTCCATACTTAGATATGATAGTTCCAGTGGAGGGTATTGCCTTGAAAATCCCATAGGCCCAGGCAGATGAGTTAAGATGGAAAGTGAGACAAGCACTACAAAAGGCAAAGTTGCCTAAGACAGCTTTGCAATCAACACTAGTATCATGATATTGTCAGCTGACAGTCAATACATCGATAGCAATGGACAAATTGGAATACTATGGAAAATTGGTATGGCTCGTTCAGGATGGCAGTTATAGCAAAGTGAAGGAGGATGTAACCCTAAAAATTAAGAGAAAGCAGTTACAGACCCTAAATAAGAATAAGGGCCACTTTGCACTAAATATGTATAGAGAGCTGATCCACCATTACACCATGCTGCCAGATATGTGTAGTCTCCAAGATTGAGACCTATAGTCAGCTGTGGGATTGGCGATGGGATCACCATTGTCACCAGTAATGGTGAACATATACAGGAAATATTTCGAGGAAATGTCTTTAGGAATGGTATCACTAAAGCCAACAGCATGGCTGTGGTATGGAGATAATACCTTCATACTTTGACCACACCAAGAAGATGTACAAACAATGCTGGTGGACATGTTAACTCAAAAAGAACTTTGATCCAGTTCACAATGGAAGAAGAAAATAATCAGCTGGCCTTACTGGATTTACTAATAACTTGAATGGATCAAGATATCCCTATATCACTAGCCAACTTTTAACTTCAATTCCCACCATCCATACAGTGTGAAGAAAAGGATTATCCTACAACATTAGGCAAAAATTAAAAGTTGACCTGACCCAGATATATATCAACAAGAAATTATCTGCCTCAACCGTACCCTTCAGAATAACAACTACCCTGCAAACATCAACATTTGCATGTGGAAATAGAAGGGTCAAGGAGGGAGACAAGAAAATTGCCATGGTCTGTCTGCCTTATTTCAAGGGCTTAATGGAAAAGATTCAGAAGATCTGCAGTCCATACAACAACAGGACAATATTCAGAAGCAGCTCTACTCTATGGAGAAATCTCTGTCAAGTAAAGCTTAACATGAGGGAGAATATGACCAAGAACTGCATGTACTACATTCCTTGCAGTTGTGGCAAAGAATATAAAGGTGAAACAAGCCACCCCCTAAATGTAAGGCTGAAGGGACACTGAAAAGCTGTAGTGAGTGGTTAGAGAATGAAATTGGGTATGGATGATCAAATATGGAAGGATAACAGTAGTCATCAACCTCTGTGAAATGAAGTGAAAATACTGGACAAGGAAGAACACTGGAGTTAGACGACTGAAGAATTATCCTATAGGACAATAGACTAGTGGATTAAAGCATTGGTTCATGCATTTGGTGGCATTTTAATTGCGAGTTCAATCCCTGGGCCAGGTAGTGTGTACTTGGACTCAGTGAAAACAGGTGGGGAATAACTGTACATAAGCAGTACTAAAAATACTAGACATTAACTCAGTAGTGGAACATGAACAGTGTACCACCGTAGATTAAATAAAAAGTTCAGTTCAGAATTCCATGCAGATTACCCAGATAAATATACACCTGATGAAGGCCGGAGAGCACAATGGCTGAAATATTGTGTTAACATTGACAACAAAGCTAACGACAATAGTCTGAATATAAATAGTTAAAATAATATGGATATCTGCACTATTTACCTCGTTCAGACTTGTCCACATTTTTATTGTCATATTCACAGTGTTTCAGCCATTGTATGCTCCAGCCTTTTCAGGTGATATACGTTGGAATTTTAAACAACATTTTATTTCATACTGTGGGGTAGATTATCCTCATTCCACATGCCATGCCCTTTTGTGGATATCATAGTTTTCAGTTATTTTAATAATTTTTTTCACCTCTGCAATGGCGTGAATATGGCAAAAAAAAAAAAAAAGAAAATGAGGACAACAGTCCGAACAATGTAAATACTTATATACCTCATCTCAAAATAAAGACAAGTGTAAAATGGATCTTGTCAAAATTCTTTTTTTTTCCATGTTGTTATTAATATCCTGAAAAATTTGATAGAGAACATCTTGGATTTTTACCTTAAGCTTTAAATATTTATTTTCCCTTCAAAAGAAAAACAAAAGTGTAAATTCAATTTAAAGAAAATTTTCTTCAGTGTCTAAAACTGCACATTATTATTTAATACTATTTGCTATTGTATGATTGTTTTATGCAATTATTTATTTTCAGTATTATACATGGATTTCTTTGGATGAGTATCCTCATGTTGGTTATGTTTGGCATAATATTTTGGCTGCTGTACTCAACAACATTCTTTAGTTATTTGACATTGTTGTTAACTTGAAAATATTGACCTGAAAGAGGAAGATTGTTTTCATTCCATACTCATGCACAGATATATCTTGTATCGGTTAATGTGTTGTAGTTCATTTGTCTTTGTGATGCTGCTTGTCTTTGTTACTAATCCAAAGCATATGCCTTTTTGCACTGCCCAACTCAGAGATTGAACTCATGACAACCAGGTAACTAATACATTTAACTAATACTTTTATTCACCGAAACAATCCAGACGGAATCATGAAGCCTTAAACTTAATGTCACTTCTCTGCCTTCCCAAATGAACCAGATAATGACTTTAAATTACCTGGAGTGTGATTAAGATGCTTAAATTTCTGAGTGTTAGGCCTATAATGGTCATTCTAATTAAAGGCTTTCATATGATATTCGTTTCTACACTGTGCCTACTGAGGAGGTTATTTTAATCTTGAATATGCATTGATTCTTTCAATTGCCTTATCTTCTCTATTGCTGTTTTTGGTCTATTATTCTGATTTCATTCCACAGAGATTAATGACCTCCCATTTTCTCTTTCACATATGATCAGCTACACCTGCTTTCACAATCTTCATCCATATTCCAGCCTTCCTATTTTACTCCAACTTTACTTTTAGTGGGGTGATGGATTTCACCTTTGCAACAACTACAACAAATGGAATATACACAATTATTGGTCATATTTTATTCTGACAAAAGCTTAGTTCAGAAGAGGTATCTCTGAAAATGGAACTGCTTTTAGAATACTGTCCTGATATTGATAAAAAGAACTCAAAATTCCCAAATTACTGAAGAACACCAGAGGGTATACTGTGACTATAATAACCAAAATGAGGATACTAGTCCAAGTAAAAGTGTATAATAATGATCATACTGCATCTAAAAACTTCAAACAAAAATATATATTTTGGTTTAATTAATTAAAATTTGGTTTATTCAAGGTAATTCATTGACAAATAGATCAATCAAAAAAGTTTATATGATTTCAGAGAAATAATTTCAGAACATGATAAACAAATACACATATATATTATAATGGTTTTTCAAGATTATTTCAACACTTGCTTATAGTTTATTTAATTTAATAATGGCATTTATGATCAGACTTTCAAATTAAGTTCCATTTTGAAATTATATGAAAACCACCTGTTTATAAACAAAAAGAAAATTTCAAGATCTTATAGAGGTAAAAAATTTAATCATTGCTAAAAAATAGGCATAAAAACTAGAAAAGAGAAAAAAAACTACAGCCACAGTCAA